TCCCATCAATATGTGCTTTATTTTCACCTGTGGAGAACATGGTATGAGAGCTTCCATCACTGAAAGTCTTTGATGGTTCTTTAGCTAACACTTACATAGAGTTCTCATCCCAACTTCAGGGATACGAGAATGTGTTATGTCAATGTCATAATTGTGTAGGTCTTCGATGCTGTTCGTTCCGCTCCTCCAACAACTAACTTATTTGAATAGGGAAATTATTCTGCGAAAGTCATAAAGAGACATCCCTGGTTCACTTTCTGCTTTATCCCGGTTCTCCCATTGAGCTTTCATGCTTACGAAGATGTTGTCTGCTCTATCTGCAATTTCGCACAACCACTCCAAAATCGACCAGATGTTCAATCCCAGATAAACGGAGGAGGTCAAGTGCCATTACAGAATCAACCCCCAGGTGGTGGCGGCGGCGGTGGTGGGCCTGCGAATCCTGGTTGGGGAGGAGGTCCGCCAGGTGGGAAACCACAACAACCAATGCAGTACGCGTAACATACTGCTTGAGAGGGGCAGATTAGGAGACGGTCGAAGCTATAGGGAGAGTTTGGGTTGAGGATATTTCAAGGCTGTATCAATAAATATGCGATCCAGGACACTCAGACTGGAAAGAGGATTGGTTCGGAGGGCGTGGTACGGAGTTTTATAACGGAAATCGGGATTGGTTGATACTATTGGTGATATCTTAAACTTGGGCAAGAATTAATTTGATGTTGTATTCCTAGGAAGAATTATTAATGAGATAGTTGTTTTCTATGTCCTGAAGTATCAGGTTCCTGTTGTCGACATGTTGCGCTTCATTTGACTTTGCAAGCTGCGGATTGACCATTGTTAATGAAAAGGAGATCGAGAAGTGATCTCTTGGATATTTGAATATTCTCAAGATGAACATTAAGTAACTGCTCGGGACTAGTCAAGGTCAATTATCCGGACTGATATCCAATGGCAACGATTTGGAGCCCGCCATCTAAAGGGAATGATAATCAAACTGTCTCTGATGGGATGATTGATTCATCCTCTTATTGATTGGTGTTCCAGAAGATCATTTCTGTGATTGGCACAGTTATCAGAGAAGCTCTCAACGCAAACATTTGACAAGGTCTAGAATCGATATGCAAGATGCAATTGCTTTTTTGCATCCCGCATGGAGATGAATTTCTCCGTGGGGTCAAGAGACCCATGGTTCATCGGAACACACCGTATCTGATAAAGCAGAAGTCTGTATTAAGCATATCGAGCACCTCATCGACACAATTTTCATCAGAGTATGTATATGTCTGCGGTATCGGAATGCTTTGAACAATCTTCTATAGTATTGCCTTTTCTTGGTCTTACTCCACTTGATGTCACTGTCCAATCACGAGTTCTGCCCTTTCCCCCTGCCTTTGCATGTCTTCTCACATTTTTCCCATCAGTTCCAATTTCCTTATCGATGGCTTTTGAAAATTGCTTCTTATCAATTGCAAAATAGCCAATCAAGAGTTAATCTTTTGTCTATCGTACAGATCGCTTAACCCCCAATGTCCAAGCTCCCGATGATGCAGTGAGATAGCAAGGATTTAGGGAAACTCCTAGGTAATTCTATATGTTTTATTTGATAAAATTATCATCATTCAACCTTATCTATTATACAAACTTCAAACTGTGGTGGTGATCACCGTTTTCTCTCATCCCTCTCATCCAGATCTCTTATCCATTATATGATGAGTAACTTATGTAAGGTAAAAAAACACCAAGGTTTAATGTCACCCCTTCTTTTCAGCTCTTACTTCCGGCGACTGGTCAGTATCACAGTTATCAGTATTACCCCAAAATGTAATAACCTAGTTGCATATCTCCATATACCTAGTATGATATGATATAATATAATAACAGCTTTGCCCCCTCATGTGCCACATGTGTAGATTTTTATTAACTTTGTGAAAACGACATCACATCCATTGTATTGAGGTCGATTGTCTCTTTTCAGCCAATATGCCTATCTCACCTCCACTCAGCTCTGGCTGGGGCTATGGAATCGTTCTCGGTTTGGGTGCTCTATTCGCATTTGGCATGGTAAGTTTTACACCCAATTGCTACAATTGAGTCTCAAACTGACTTCTTTGGATCAATTAGATCCTTGTAACATGGATCCTCAAACGATACAACCACGAATTACAAACATCAGAGATGTTTAGTACAGCTGGAAGAACAGTGAAGTCGGGATTGGTGGCATCTGCGGTTGTATCTTCGTGGACCTGGGCTGCCACATTACTGCAAAGTTCTGGTGTTGCATACAAATATGGTGTTTCTGGACCTTTTTGGTATGCATCTGGGGCTACGGTTCAGATTCTATTGTTCGCAACTATTGCCATTGAGTTAAAGAGGAGGGCACCAAATGCTCATGTAGGTTTGGCAAATCTGGCAGGTATAGAAACATACTGATTGATCTTAGACTTTCCTTGAAGTCATCAGAGCTAGATATGGGGTACATGCTCATATCGTATTTACGGTCTTTGGCTTAATGACCAATATCCTTGTCACTGCAATGCTTTTGACAGGTGGTGCCGCTGTGGTATCTTCCTTGACAGGAATGCCTACACCTGCTGGTAAGAGAATCATTTGATACTAGATTCCCAGTTACTTACATCATATAGCTTGTTTCCTCCTGCCATTGGGTGTAGTTATGTATACCATGTTCGGTGGTATTAAAGCTACTTTCCTCACTGATTGGGTTCATACGTTTATGCTCTTAATCATCATCCTAATCTTCGCATTCACCACCTATGCTACAAGTGAAGTACTTGGATCGCCAAAAGCGGTATTTGATCTCTTACTCAAAGCAGCAGCCGATCATCCAGTCGAAGGCAATTCTGGTGGTAGTTATCTCACTATGAAATCTTCAGAAGGTGCCATCTTCTTCGTCATCAATATCGTTGGAAATTTTGGAACTGTGTTCTTGGATAATGGATACTACAACAAGGCAATTGCTGCATCCCCAGTGCATGCGCTTCCAGGTTATATCATGGGTGGAATCTCTTGGTTTGCCATTCCATGGCTGTGTGCTACAACCATGGGTCTAGCAGCCATTGCTCTAGAAGGCAACCCAGTCTTTCCTACTTATCCTAATCGTATGGATCCCGCCGATGTCTCAGCAGGTCTTGTACTTCCATATGCCGCCGTTGCCATCCTCGGAAGTGGTGGTGCCGTTTGTACACTTTTGATTGTTTTCATGGCCGTCACATCAGCATCGTCTGCCGAACTAATCGCCGTCTCTTCAATCTTCACATATGATATCTATCAAACATATTTCAACCCAAAAGCAAGTGGAAAGAGATTGATTTACATGAGTCATGCTATGGTCATTGGCTTTGGTTTGTTCATGGCTGCTTTTTCAACTGGTTTATACTATGCTGGTATTTCCATGGGTTATCTCTACCTCATGATGGGTGTAATCATCTCCTCTGCCGTGATCCCCGCGACTCTAACAATCATGTGGGCTGGCCACAATCGTTGGGCTGCCGCACTCACTCCACCTCTTGGTCTTATTTGCGCTGTTATCGCATGGCTCGTCACCGCCAAGAAAGAATGTGGCTCCCTCGATGTCGATTGCACTGGTTCTAACAACCCCATGTTAGCAGGAAATGTCACGGCTCTTCTTTCACCTCTCATTTTCACCCCTCTCTTCACCTTAATTTTCGGTTGGGATAAATATGACTGGGAATCCATGGCCGCTATCCGTAGAGGCGATGACCACGATTTAGCTGACGCAGCCGACGTAGACCTCGAACTCGTACCAGGTGAAACCCGCGCCTCGGCCGCAGAGGAAGCACTCGAACAAACTAAACTTCTACGCGCTTCAAAAATCGCAAAGGGTATGACTGTCATCCTGACTCTCGCGTTGTTAATATTATGGCCCATGCCCATGTACGGCAGCGGCTATATCTTTTCCGAGAAATTCTTTACCGGTTGGGTTGTCGTGGGTATCATTTGGTTAATAGGTAGTACATTGACGGTGGGTGTTTATCCTGTATTCGAGGGAAGACATTCGTTGGCGAGGACGGCAAAGTCAATTTATTTGGATATTACTGGAAAACAACATCCAAGTAAACACCATAGGCCAGAAGCTACGTATGTAGAGGGAGTAAAGGATGATGGGACTGAGACGCCGCCAGTCGGGGGTAGCGAAAAGGAAATCGCGGAAAAGAGTGAGGCTACTGCTCAGTAGGCATAGTTGGGGCGGGTTGGGTGTTTTGTTGGGAATGGAATGGAATGGATGCTCGATGATACCATAAATATTTTTCACTTTGCTATATTTGTTTGCTTTTTGTCAGCGGAGGAGGTGGGGGGAAATTGTGTGTGAAATTACACGAATTAGTAATTAAAAAATTTCAATCTTTATCTTTATAATGCCGCAAGTCTGGATTATGCTGTTGTAATTCTCCTTCCTCAATAGGCAACACTAAGGAACACATTCGTCCAGTCTCCAAAGATCAGTGTGTTTGATGGCTTGACTCGAACTTCGCGATGTGCAGAACACTGGTAGATGTTTGAAAATGATCAAGGTGTTTCAATGTTTCAATTCATATGAACCATAGTTCATAAATATCCTATCCTATGGGCGTTGGCACGCCAGTATCTCAGTTCTTTTCCAACAGAGTAGTACAACAAGTATGCCTATTCAATATGAACATTAGTCAATGGTCTCGAAATCCACTTTGAAGAATAATCCATCAATGTCACAATTCAATATGAATAATAAATAGGCCATGGATGTTTTCAGTGGTTGCGATACCTCAAGTTCTTCCCTCATTTCGAAAAGGTTCATTACATAGACAGAATATTAAAGAACATCTTATTGTCTGGTTGGAATGAAGTTATTCAAGATCTGAAATCGACTTGTGAAACTTTCAAACCTCCAGCACGTATTTGAATGCAATCAACAGATTTCATTGCTATGGAGCTTGCGCTTCTTAAAGAGACTACTATGACGTAGAAACCGATAAGCTGACGCTTCAATTTTCTGAATCATTATCGGAATCCCTCTCTTCAGGCGTGTTCGATTCCTTCTTTCTTTTTCCATTCTCTCGTAGAGCTTTGAGCCTTTGGACTAGTAGCTTCATAGGACGAGCTGCATCTGGCGGATGTATGAGCACGTTTAGGCGCTCCTTGTATTTGTCATCCGAGTCCTGCATCGCTGCTGATGACGGAGTGAGTTGAAACACCATAAATTCTATATTGTGTTAGTGAAAATCGAGTTTGCTCAGGATATAAGGACGTGCCCCAAACTGCTGTGATAATATCTGCCAAATTATATATAATAAGTTGTAAGAGACAAGATATGATGAAGAGCGGTAGAAATATGATACCAAGGAATACGTGTATCAGAGTTAGAAATGTAGGTTTTCTGGATTTCAAGCTGTTTGATGCCAGTAAGACACGTCGGGCAGGGAGCTCAATACTAAAATAGTGAACCCAAAACAAGAGAGTCCAAGTCTCAATCCTTGAAGGTATTTTGCGCTGTTTGTGATGAGAATTTGTTTTACGCTTGGCTCGATCATGGTTTTCGTCAGCTCCTTCATCGCCAGCCTCTTCATCATCAGCTCCTTCATCATCAGCTCCCTCATCGTCAGCTTCTTCAACGGCAGCTCCTTCAACGTCCTGAGAGGTGTTTCTCCGCATCTTCTTGTCGTAGACTATAAAACTCCGTTCCATTTTCGCTTGGGAATGTCTGTGATACACCGAGAACAGGTCATCCACGATCTTAGCTAGTTGTTTAGCGTTGAGTAAAGCGAGTACCGTTAGGAAGAGAGCGACAACAGCACACGCTGCCATGCTGCCAAGTACCTTCCCATCCGGCGCACCGCTCATGCTGAAAATACCTGTTGCAAACCCTAGAGGCAGGAAAACGACAGTGACATAAGTGAAGAATCGAATATTCTCGGATCCTTGGAGGCTCAAGTCATTGCGAATCTTTAGTGATTTGGCGTGTCAGTAGTTGTTCTCAAAGAGCTCTGATATTTGAAGATGAAATATGACAAATACCAGATTCAGAGGAGAGTAAAAAAACTGCTCTTACTTGGTCCTGGCTATTTACGATAGTTTCCCTCAGAGTTTTGATATTTCTATATGCAACATGTAGATCCATAACTCGCCTTTTTGTAGAGCCTTTGGATTTGTTGATCATACCGCGGTATTTCATCTCGTCGTTCCGCGTCCAGCGAGGTTCTTCCCCTTTCCGGTCATCCTCCCTCTTCTCCCATTTCCCGATAACTCCAATTGCAGATTCGAGCTCCTCCTCAATAACATGTAAAATGTGTTGATACTTGTTCCACAAGACACTCGAAGTAAAATAATCCTCACTACTTAAAATGGAAGATGATAAAGCGCTTTGTTTCATTCCCAACTCCTCTCTAATTGAGTAAGATATTTCTTGGGTGCATCGGACGATCTGTTCTATCATCCGATCAAAGAACAGGAGCTCGAGTACTTTTCTTTGTCTGTAGGCTTTATTGTTTGATTCTATGAATAAGGGTTGGTGGCCTTTGCCTGGATAATAGTCAAAACGGTCCTCTCTGTACAAACCTGGAACATTCTCTAAAAAATAACCAGTCCAATATCGATCAAAAATATCGCCATCAAATCGGAAGCCCATGGAACAAAGAGCGATCTTCTTTTTTTGCCCAGTACCCGGGAACTCTTCTGCAGATGAAGTAGCCATTCCTTCAGCATGATTGGGATCTGAATTGATGAGTGAATAAAAACTCAGATGGAACTCAGTCTCCCATGCATTTTCTACAAGAGCTGTATCTTCAAAGAAATAACTTTCATTTTTCACATGTCGATCAAAAAACAAAGAGATCGATATCTGATGGGTTTCAGGGGTGGCTAAGTAGCACAAAGGAGCTTGAAACTCACGAACCAGAGGCATCCAGATCAAGCGTTTCTTGGCTAGCTCTCGAGTACGGGGTTTCTTGAGCGCTTGCCAAAACTCCAAGTTGTCATCGTTTGGATAGACTCCGTAATCTCGCTCGCCCAATCTTCCAGAATGTTTCGTTTGTTGGATATCAACAATAAAGCAGGAATTACCCCTTTTCCATACATCAGAAAGATTCCCATGAAAATGGTTAATTTCTTTTTTGACGATACCACTAATTTCCGAATAATTCGCGCTCAGTTGCGCCGACGCTAAGGCTTCTTTTAAATCGATTTTAGTATTTCTCGAAAATATGGAGGGATAATTGTATAGCCATTCATCATCACGGTCTACAATATTTGTTATATCAACCAAGTCATTGAAAGGTGTAGTTTTCTTCATGGTAAGATTTGCTCGAGCTCTCATAGCATCTACGACTTTTGCTGGTTGGTTTTGTTCATTTGCCGGTATCGAGACTAGAGTTATGTCGAAGATACTCTGACGTTGCTGAAGCTTTGTTTGTTGAGAATTACCAAGATCAGTCGTCGGTTTTACAGTGGCTGAGGGGTCCGAAGTGGTTATCTCAGACAGCTGCGTCTCATGAAGACTGTAAATTTGGGTAGCGTATCGAAGAAGAATATAGGGTATCTCAAAACTGGCGTGATAATAGGAGTCTGCATCTTCCTCGTATTCGAATAAAACCCGCTTCTTTGTGTCCTTGTCTAGCAGCCCTGCAACAAACCCGTTGGAACTAAAGCTTCCGAAAAGGACCTCCATAGATGATTGGGCCAATTCCAATGACGGCTTTGCATTGATTTTGTACCCACAAGTACCCACGATAATGGCTAAAGCATAGCGAAGTGTATTATCCCACCCAGATTCTTCACTATCCACATGATGTGATTGAGAGTCAATGGTGTTTTTTAACAGCTCTATAAATTGCGTCCCTTTCCATTCCATTTGGTTGGTGTTGTAGAAGAGCGCGGTATCTCGCGCATGAAACAAGAACCTAGATTCCTGCATGGATCTCGTGACAGCTAACATTCTCTTGTTGGATTGATAATTTTGATTGTGGACGGCGAATCGTTGTACAACTTCTTTTTGTACGTTTGCGTAAGAGTACTTCTTCTCTAAAGGTAACCTAGGTCGCCTCTCTGGTGCACTAGTCGCATGTTCTTGGACACCTCTTTCGGTATGTTTGGAAAAGATCATGAGTTCGGCTAGCTTAAGAGCCTTGATAACCCAGACATGGTCATCTAAGCGGAAGATACGGAGATCCTCGCCTTGATATCTAGGCCATACAAACTTGCCTCTCTCGTCGAGCTTATCTAGATGCGTTATCCAATTTCCATAAACCCGCCTGACAACTTTGCGAGCCAGCTGCCACTCGTTGTTGCCAGAGTCTTTACTGTAATGTTCGGCAAATTCTCCTGCCTTGATGATTTGGAATGCTGTATCTGTAAGATTATTCCTTGTCCACTCATTAGCGTGTCTCGATCTTCCATTCGCCGATATTCTTTTCCCATTAGCCATGTAGCCAAGCTCGAAGAGACGACCTTCTGACAGCTCTACATCATTTAACCATATCAAATGTCCTTCGCATACTTTTTTTATTCTATCTCGAAGTGATGAAACGTATGTTTCATTAGGCGACTCGATTGATCGTAGATAGGAGTCTACTTGGAGAAGGAACAGAAACGCAAAGCTAAAAGTTCAACCATTAATCTATAGAAACTGAGTGAATTCCTTGCAAAAAGAAAACTCACAGACTAGATGAAGTACAGATCCGATGAGCTGATATATCCCCACACGTCAAGGCTACAGCACACGTATTATTGCTACCCTGGTAAGAGGGAATGGGAATCGCGCAAACGGTGAGAAGGTGTTCCAGATGCCTTTGGAAGATGAAGTCAAGGTTACTCTTGATCTTATCCCACGCCATAGTTTCACTAGCAGAGACATTGGGTATGGAATCTCCAAGGCTAAAAAGTGGTATCGTACGATATTGCGTCGATATGAACTCTTTTAACAACAGATTATCGACATTCGCTTTATCCGCCTCCACCAAAAACTGTTTCCAATCATTTGAAACCCCCGATGTTGAATATACCAACTTATATGCAACAACAACTTCTTTGGTTTGTTTAATTTCGACGGTTAAATTCCGTTCCTCGTTGGAGTGAAATTTCATGGCAACACCGTCAATGAATACAGACACGATCACTCCAAGAGAATTATCCATTGGCCTAGTTTCTCCAATGTTAGTTGAGTCATCTTTCGATAATTCATGCAAGTATATCCAGCTATAACTTTCCGGTCCCAAGAAGTGGTGGTCGTCAATTGCACCTGAAGGAAGGTTGGACCTGTCCCAGGTCTGATACTGAACATCCCGAATGAACATATCTTTCGAAAACACAATTTTCGTTGAGATTTCTTCAGTGTCGAGATTAGTGAAGCGCCACTGCTGTAAAACGACTCCATCATGCACCATCCATTGATTGACAACTTTGGCCTTTTCGCTCTCGTATTCATACCGCGGCCACCTACAGTGTACATATTTCCGGACTAAATCATCTTCTACAATCAGACCTGGGAAATATACACCGTACGTCATACCAGCTCGATTGCGGGCTCGGGACATATCATTCAGTTTATTCGCTCTATCCGAAGGGTAGTAGGGCACCCAGATACATGTATGGTCTACAGAGAACATGCCAGACTGTCCCCGGCCAAGATAAGTGCTGAATTGCATGAGTTGTCCAAACGCATTCACAGTTGCTGTTGTTCCTCCATCCCCGAATGACGAGTAGCACTCATGGTCCGGATGTGACTCCCACATACTGCATTGTTCGTCCCCTGGTTCGTAAATTAATGGACCATGGGTACCCTCAACTGGAGTGCCTTAAATCGATGTTCAGTATAGATGAGATAAATGGGGTGATAACTGACGATGAGTGTATTTCCTGAATTCAGCATCTTCTGGGTCTGGTAGCCCCGTGATCCAAAAGTCCTTAGGCGTAATTTTCTTCTCATCATTTCCCCCATGAGCGGTTTCCTCATCATCACTTTCTTCATCAACACTTTCCTCGCCAATCATATCCTCTTCTTGAGATTCTCCTTGTGACTTTACAGCCTCTTCATGTTCTTCTCCACTTCCCGCTGGCAATTCTCGTACTTCGTCCTCGCGATCCATCATGAAACAAAGCTGGAGTTTTCTGATACCAAAATACGACGACAAAAGAGAGAATGGAGCAAAGAAAAGAGCCGCAAAATTAACTTGGCGGTTTTCCTTCGCCCCATGCCGCCGAGCTGAAAACCTATTATTACCAGCATAAGAATAGTTGGCGAGGTTGATTAAAATACCACGCAGCATGGAGATATAACAAGGTATAGGCATCACGCTAACGTAACCCAGAACATCAATTGGTTCTCAGTATGGAGATAAATTACTGAAATAGTCAGGTCCAATATATGCATGCACGGGGCAATACGTACTTCATCCGATTCTAGCAAGAGCTGCGAGGACATTCCATAAACGATTGCATGCAGCGCTGCAGTCAGAAAATAAACAGTATAAGATATTATTTACTTGCTGTGGTTCTCAATGTGTGCCGCATACCAAGTTTTCACACATCCTTGGGGTGAAAATGGGACATCAAACCACCAAAATCAAAGAATCTTCAAACGCACCTCTATTTCGATCTTATATTTCGAGGGCAACTCAGTAAAAGATATAACAAGATTCATGATTTCTATCAATCACTACCTAGGCAATTTTTAGATTTTCATATTCGGATTTCGAAGGAAAATATTGAATTATTAATTATTAATTCAAGTTTGATTGAGCAATCTGATTTAATGTTCCGTTTATTTCGTGCACATTGAGATACTTAAGCCTACTCTCAACATCCCAATCAAATCACCTTCATCAGACCCCCCAAACTTCCAAAAAAGAATACATTTTGATCTGCGATTTTATTCGCCCATCACGATAACCTACCTATACTCTCAAAATACTCTACAGCCACACTAGCGGCCTGGCCGAGCCAAGTTTCTATGATATAAGATGGCAGCAAATTCGAAGAATGAAAGTAACCTGTTCATGATTCATGCACATCTTACCCTATATTCACACCTCACACCATCACACTATTCCTCACTTACGGATCCGTTTAAGACTTTAATTATCTATCATACAGCATATAAAACACACCCTACCCAAGCTACCCAGTTTTTACTACCTAAAAAATAGAAGCGAGAGAGACTACTAGATACCTTAGTAAGTCCAATGCCTCACTCCGCTTGTAGAATCCATGCCAGCTTTCGCAAAATGAATCCTTGACAGCCACGTGGTTGAAGAAATTCAAGCTCTTTGAGATTTACCAAAGGAACGAAAAAATAAAAAACTGAAAAGAGAATGTCGTTACGAAACCCATTCCCAAACTCCTCCCATATCCAGCCCCATCTTTGAAAAAACAAATGCCTTCTGAAATTAATCAGCCATATCTACTTCGTTATCCACGGCTGCTGTGGCCGTCGTCGCAGTAGGTGCTGCTGATGTAGCTCCAGAAACGATATTGCCACTGCCAGCAGCCTGTGTTGAGGGAAGAACGCCCTCATTGACCCATTTTCTAAATTCTTGGTTGATCCTGCTAACTTCTTCGTGGCTCTTTTCCTTCATCCATCGATTATTCATTCCAAATTTCTCATGAAACCTTTGATTTCTTGATTCTTCAACCTTCTTCAATCTTTGTCTAGTCTCACCTTCTTCACCACCGCCTAGAGCTTTATCGGCATAAATGAAGTATTCCACGCCGGGTTCCTTGTAGATGATCTTGTAACTATTGACGCAGATTCTGAGTGTTAGATCCTCGCCCCAAACGAGAGGTTTACGTTGATTAGAACCATCTTCAGAATCTGTATCTCCTGATGGTAAATTGCGGGTAAGGAGGCTCTTGCGAAGAAGTCTACGGGGCACGCCTTCGGTCGGTTCAATGCGGACATAAGAAGATGTATAATATTGCCAACGCTCTTTTCGTTGCATTATATCAAGATCAAATGTGGTTTCGTCTCGATGGACCCACTGTGATGTCGCTTCATTCTTTTTGGGGTACTAATATTCTGTTAGTAGATACTTGTAAAATGGAACCAAAAATTGCTTACCCATCTGATCAAAAACAATTCCGAGTCTTTGATGTATTTATCGGCTTGTTTCCGTAAATTAATCTCAATATTATACGATGTTTCTTTCGACTCTCTATTGCGCAAAAATTGTTCAATGAGATCCGGAGTCTTCTCCTTGGCATCAGGAGATGAGCAGGTGGAGCCAAGGCGACAAAGAGTCTTTAGAAGGTCGGTTATGGTGTAGATCTTCCATCCCGTCTGCAAGTAGTAACGTCGGAGGTAGTCTTGGTATTTGGTGTCGTCATATTCGCTCTTGATAAATTTTTCGACAATGCTCAGGACTTTTGAAAAGCAAGACTCGCCATCTTCGATACTAGTAAAATCATCGGTCCTGTCGCTTAGCAAACCAATTTGTTTTGCAGGTTTGCCACTCTTTGCACGTTCCATTTCTGCTTTTGCAGAGCTCTCTGCATCCTTAATGTCCTTGAGTCTTTGATAAAGAGTTTGGAAAACGCTGAAGAATACAAAAATGGTTTGGTTGCAGTACAGATTATACCAATCACGTTGAAATGGTTGATCCGCTTTCATTTCCAAATCGTCGGATTCAAGAGGTTTTGTTCCTTGGACAGCAACTGCACCTGGCACAGCAGCCCAACGCTCGTTAGTGACTTCGGTGATAGCTCTGTCATCAGCTGCTTCGTTGACTTCTTCATCCATGTTAGAATCAACATCCGGTGTAGATTCTTTACTGCCAGTAGCGCTGTCTTCCTTCTGTCCCCGACCTCTTGTGCCATTGCGACCTTTATCAAGCACTCCTCGTCGTAGGTCTGCTTTCTTTCCATTGACTGGTCGCCTGCCTCGGCCATTAGAAAGCTCAGCCGGAGCAATATCTTCGTAATCATCATCAGGAGTTCCACGATCAATGTCAGCAGTGTGAAGTGCAACAAGATCCTCAGGTAAGTCAAAGAATGTAGATACAAACTTCTCAAAGAAGTCCGAAATGCGTCGACGCTCGGAACTACTGTGTTGGCTTGCATTGCAGGCATAGACAATCATAATATGTAAAAGCTGGCAGATGACCTCTTGATCGGCAAATTGGTAGGAGTACTGATATTTTGGCGTGGGGCCTCTCGAGCTTCTAAGGCGTCGCTGTTCTTCGTGTTTGGTCTTGATAGAATCCACTAAATGCTTTGCAGCAAAATGTTTTTTGTCGGCTTGCTTGACGTGAATGCCCATGTGATCAAGACTTTTCAGGTACATAACACCACCTTGTGCACCCCAGACAGGATTCCATTCACGCTGATACTTAGATTAGCAATGCAACATTGCTGGAATATAGGATACTTACTCTAGTAAAGGTCCATTCTTCATCCTTCTGCTTGAGTCGTGCTAAGATTACAGGTAACACAGCGCAAGGATCTTGAATTAGATCGGTAACGACTTGTGGACCTTTCTCTGCACCGTAAATCTTTTTCAATACACGCTTGTAAATCGCTTGGTTTGGACCAGCAGTGTTGGGCATGCGGAAATTCTGTCTCTCAGCTGGATCCATGGCAACGATCTGCTGTGCGATGGGTTCAAGAAGTTGTATTACTTTGGCGTTACATTCAATGTTGAAATCGTAATCGTGACGTTCTTCTTCGATGCGGTGAAGACCTTCCTCGAAAATGTTCTTTCGATGAGCTACGAAACCTGAATCTTCTGATGCCCATGTAGGATGCGAAGCCCAGTCATCGTTAAGAACGGCTTGGCACATCTCATCTCGACCACTACAAGGCTTCAACCGTTCCTGTCATTGGTATTAGCAAAGGGCTCTGGTCTGACAAACATATTCAATCTCCGGGAAATGATGAATGAATATTTTGAAGCTAGAAGTGTAGGGGAGGAGGGAAACTTGCTCTTTTCGGTAACAAGCGATAACTTGGCCCCAAGCCTCGACAATTACTCAATGCAACTCTTCCTGTCGGAGCCTTTGGGCGATTGTCGATGATCTCGTCGACTCCTTCATAATTAACAAAGGCTTTAAACCAATTCATCAAATCCGCACTTCCACCAATAAAATTGTGAACTTTGAATACGAGGACGTTTCGATCTATCAAGTCTTGTGAGAAAAGATTACAGAGCTTCAAAAACTCATTCATAGTGGACTTATTGCCAATATATTTCTTCACGCGATCGAAGAAAGCCAATTCTTCAGAACTCGCGGCAGACATCGATGCAGGAGGAAGTGGTTCGGGTACGATTGGCGTTAAGGTCGGAGATACCGCAGCTGCGTCAGCAGCTTGTGGTTTACTGTTATGATGGGTTTTCGATCGCTATACAAATCAAAGTATTAAGTAAATATCTCCAAAAATAATGGGCTTTTAATAGAATAGCTTGAAGCCTAAATTACCTTGTTGGGTTGCTGTTGACCAGCGCCACGAACAGAGCCTTCTCCTCCATTACCCATTTGCGAATTGGTTCCTTGAGTGAGAGGCTTGCGCTTTTTTTCTGTTTTGCCATTAGTAGATACAGGGATGGGAAAGTTTCCCATAATTGGGAGTTTGGGATCTCCTGTAGGACCTCTATTTCCAAGTTGAACACTTTGAGAAGAATCTGGCATTGCCGTTGCTTCCTCCGCCGCCTCCTTAGCAGCTTTTGCTTGTGCAGCTGATTCGGGAAGAAATTGTTTGAAATCTTCAAGAAGATCTGGCGCCGTACCAAACAAGGTAGTTACTTGACTATAAACGTCCTGAATAGGTTTAGATTCGCGTTGGTATGTTTGGAGAATTTCGAGAAACTGTTTATAAATTTCAGGTTTGTCTTGGAAACGGTTCTAGAGTAAACGATCAGTAAATTTTCAAAGACGATTGGTAGAATGATTATTAATTCATACCTTAATTTTGTTAACATAGCTTATTGCATGATTAAATTCAACCGGGCCACGCTTTTCCATGCCCGCTTGCGCACTGGAACCGTTCAGATTACCAGAGCTACCGCCCGGTGTTGGGGTTTGCGTGTTTCTCGGTGGTTGACCTAAAGTTGCACTGACAGCGTTAGTCAATTGAGAAACACCTCGCTGTTGTTGTTGAT